TAACATGTTGCTAAGGTGCGTGAATTGTGGTCACGCGTGATCATGGCTTATTACTTAATTTCTTTTCCTTTTTTTTATCAGAAACAAATTTCAATGGAACATGGCACATAAATGCTCTAGAACAATCTACCGACCTGGTTATTTTTTTTAGTTGCAATCTGTGTAGTCTAGCAGGAAAAATGGGTTCCCATGCACTCCCCCTAAAACTAAATTCTAATATTACTGAAAGCACCCCAGGGATATATACTTAAATAATCGTGATGTTACCAGTAAAGAAATGTCCCATGGGGTCCTAATTAGTATATTACCAAGATGGCTGCCACCCGCACTCATTAAAACACTGGGTATCATATCCCATGTACTACAAAGCTGATTTTGAGGATATTGGTATCGATATTATGGTTTTATGGGGTGCTGAATAGAATGACAAGGTCCCCAAAGCAAATGGAGGTCAATGTCACATCATTTAGGCGAAGTTCAAGCAATTTTTTTTTGAAAATGCTTCATTTTAATTTATGTTTCCATATGCATTGTTGACACTGCTATTGTCTCCAAAACTGTTATTATTCTCATATTATTTGAATGTATGTATGTGTATTGATATGTATGCATCTCCTTCTCTTTCTCTAGATGTAGATGTCTAGTTTCCAAAGTGAACCTTTGAATCTTTCATTCTGGCAGTAGTGATATGCAGAGGTTATATTATAGTACTAGAGACTAATAACCAGTTCAGCTAGACTAATACCAGTTTGACCAGAGACTAATACTTGTTCATATCTAGCAAATAGAGACTAATACTAGTAAATAGACTAATAGTAGTTTACTAATAGTAGTTTAGAACGAGTAGTGGCGGGTAGTCAAGTTTTATTAACCATGGTTAAAAGAAAAAAAAGGCAAACCAAGTTTGGATGCGTCCGACCCTCTATGAAACAAATGTATTGCATTCACATGTATCGTGTACAACCCAAAGGTACCAGATGATAAATATTTCACCTGTTTTATTTCTGTAAAATGTATGCCATCAGAGAAGTTGTCATATATACAAAAGATCCGAGACACAAGACTTGCCGAGCCATTTGATTCTCCGCATCGTATGAAAGATGTGACCTGCTGCCAGAAAGTCTAGAGGGTCTCGATTTGAATACAACTGGTTACCACTGGCGCTACTATCAAAGCTTTACAGTGCACCTGGATCGATTTAAGAATCAATCTGCTTATGCTTCAACTGAACCATCAACATCACAGAGACATCACTCTCCTCGCAAGCAAATGCCAACGAATGCTGATCATGTCAAATTTCCATCAGATGAATGCACTTTCTGTGATAAGAATGAAATCAAGGTTGATGGAAACACTCAGAGGCCAACCTGCACGTTTACAGCTTGGAATAAAAAGGAGTCAGGATGGAAGAAAATTGAATCAATGGTAGAAGCACTAGGAAACAGTGTTGTAGAATCAAAGATATTGATCTCTTTGCAGCTGAGGGTCACTTCCATGATGTTTGTTATCATCGCTTCTTTTGTGACTTCCATAATCAGTACAGGGATACTGACACAGAACAAGCTCGAAACACTGCTGCTTACAGTGCTGCATGCAATGTTGTGAAGGAGCTGCTGAAGAACAGGGTCCTATGACCAACAAGTCATGCCCCTCAGTGAACTTTGTGACAGCTACATCATTGAGCTAAATGTGCAAGGAGCACCAAACCCTGACTATATGTCTATAAAGCTTAAAGCAAGGGTTATAGCATGACCATCAGTTATACAGTAACATGTGCCTATCAGTTGGGGACAGCTGATCAGTTAAAGGACATCGCTTTTTCTTGAGACAGGTTATCCTAAAGGCTTTCAAAGAGACAGCTGATCTGCTGATCAACTGGCCACCCACTGCTGATGACTTGGATAGGAAAGCCAAGAAGGAGTTGCCTGATGACCTCAAGGGGTTTCTCAGCCTGGTGTTTTCTGATTGTGGTTCTAAGGTGGAGAAGTCTGAAAGGATGCAACGACTTGCGTACTTTATTGGAGTAGATGTCTGCAGAGCAGTGAATAATGGGCAGCGGAAATTGTCAAAACATGTGTTTTTGTACACAACTATTCGTCATCTATACCGCAGAAGGCAGTTAACGAGAATCTTGAACAGACTAGGTCACTGTGAGTCTTATGACTTTGGGTTAGAGCTTGAGACTGCCATGGCAAAGGCACTAAGTGATAATTCGACTTACCTTACTCCTAACATAATCTGTGGCGATGGAAATGCAGTGTTTCACAATGAGTGGGACAATCTTAACAAGATTACAACAAACATCTATGGCTTAAACGTGGTTAACAGTGCTGGAGGCATCATGATCCAGGAGATAATGCCTGGTGCTACACCAAGCACAGAACGAACTCTTCCTCTCTGTAACAGAAGTAAGA